AGTTTAGAAATAGGAATGCTCTCCCATTCATGTCTAATACAGGCCTCTAACTGTTCAATCGTCTTGGGCCTTCTTTGTCGCACCTTCCTCTTTATGATGCACCAAATGTTCTCTAGAGGTGAAAGATCTGGACTGCAGGCTGGCCATTTCAGTACCCGGATCCTTCTCCTACGTAGACATGATGTTGTGATTGCTGCAGAATGTGGTCTGGCATTATCGTGTTGAAAAATGCAGGGTCTTCCCTGAAAGAGATGACGTCTAGATGGGAGCACATGTTGTTCTAGAACCTGAACATAGTTCTCTGCATTAATGGTGCCTTTCCAGACATGCAAGCTGCCCATGCCACAAGCGCTCATGCAACCCCATACCATCAGTGATGCAGGCTTCTGAACGGAGCGTTGATAACAACTTGGGCTATCCTTGTCCTCTCTGGTCCGGATGACATGACGTCCCAGTGTTCCATAAAGAACTTCAAATCGTGACTCATCTGACCACAGAACAGTCTTCCATTTTGCCACACTCCATTTTAAATTACCCCTGGCCCAGTGGAAACATCTGAGCTTGTGGAGCTTGTGGACATCTCCGGAGCTCCTCTTCCATGCAGTGAATCTCACCTCTCATCCCCCACCTAGGCCTCTGGTGTAAATCTGTGGCTGGCCGCTACTGCTGGTGATCCCCTGGCCCGAGAGACCGGGCGATCGTGCGGCGCGCGGCAAAGTCCGTGCGTCTTCCTGGAGAAGCTCCGGTGGTGACCCTGATCTCGAGCGGACTGCTAGTGCTTCTCACCTGCCTGAGGTGAGTTGGGGGCCGCGTGATTCAATCCTGCCTGGAGAGTCTGCTTGCTGAGGTGCCAGCTGCAACAAATTTGTGGACCGGCTTCTAAGAACTGCACCGTCTGGATGTTCGCGGTGGTATGGAAAACAATTGATGCCATTAGAGACCACCAGGTGATCGACTGTACTTCTCCCATAAAAATCTGCTGATGCGTCTGGCTGCCTAAAACCAGTAAATGGGAAATATTTTTTGCTTCAGTCGTCATTGAAGGAGTAAGTAATTCTTAACTTTTTTTTTTCCCCCAACGACCACGGACTTACATCTGACTGCTGAAAATGTTTTAAAGGGATAATTGGAAAATATCTTACTTAACTCTGGAGAGAACACTGTCTTATTTTATTTCACTTCAACGCCATGTCATCCAGACCAGAGAGGACAAGGATAGCACAAGTTATCAATGCTCCGTTCAGAAGCCTGCATCACTGATGGTATGGGGTTGCATGAGCGCTTGTGGCATGGGCAGCTTGCATGTCTGGAAAGGCACCATTAATGCAGAGAACTATGTTCATGTTCTAGAACAACATATGATCCCATCTAGACGTCATCTCTTTCAGGGAAGACCCTGCATTTTTCCACACGATAATGCCAGACCACATTCTGCAGCAATCACAACATCATGGCTACGTAGGAGAAGGATCTGGGTATTGAAATGGCCAGCCTGCAGTCCAGATCTTTCACCTATAGAGAACATTTGGTGCATCATAAAGAGGAAGGTGCGACAAAGAAGGCCCAAGATGATTGAACAGTTAGAGGCCTGTATTAGACATGAATGGGAGAGCATTCCTATTTCTATCCTGATGCATGCTCAATAATCCAGGTAGAAAAATCCAAAAAAGTTCAATCTGGTCCTCTGGACATTCAAAAAAACAAAACAAAGCAAAAAAATATAGAAATGTTTCGTCTCTCATTCGAGAGACTTCCTCAGGTGTACTTTTAAGACCTATTGTTAGCATGATTAACTCTGTCACTTACAATGTTTCCAAATATCTAGTGTCTGTATTCATCCCTTTAGTTGGCAGCTTAGAACACCACATACAGAACACCATGGACTTTGTGGATAAGGTGAGGGATGTCATCATGGAGACTGATGAAACAATGGTCTCTTTTGATGTCACATCACTCTTTACGCGCATTCCTGTTGATGATGCAGTAGAGGTGGTCAGTTTAAAATTAAAATCAGACACCACTCTGAGCAGTAGGACCACGCTTTCCACAGAACAACTGTGTCAACTCTTGAAACTGTGCCTGCAGTCAACATACTTCACATATGGGGAGCAATATTATAGGCAGAAACATGGGTGTGCTATGGGGTCTCCAGTTTCTCCTATTGTTGCCAACCTGTACATGGAGGAGGTAGAAAAGAGAGCCTTGACGTCCTTTTCAGGGACATAACCAAGTCATTGGTTCAGGTATGTTGACGACACCTGGGTTAAAATTAAATCTCAGGAAGTCCAACATTTTACTGACCACATCAACTCTGTGGATAAATACATCAAGTTCACACGAGAAGATG